GGCTCTGTGTATGCCTGGTTCGTTCTTGTCTCCATTTCTTGTCTGCCCAGTTTATTGCCCGTATCCAAAAGACACAGAAGCTCACACGCGTATACTCGCCCCTCCCCCCGCAGGCCACCTGTCTTCAAGTACTTATCGTAGACTTCTTCCTCCCCTAATTGAACCCTCTGTGGTCAGAAGCAGCAGCGTTCATTTCTTAACTCCCCCACTTTCGTTGCTCCTTGAAAGGATTGTGCTTAGTTATTTGGTTACTTGTTGACCGTCTCTCCCCTACAGGCCAAGATGGCAGGGCTTTGTCTGGGTCAGCCCTACCCAGCACCCGTAGCACTGCCTGGGGTGGGGGGGGGGGGGGGGGGGGAAGGGGAGAGCCAGCCAGCAAATGATTGTGGACAGAATGTATACGAATCTGTGTAACTCTACCGTGAGTTACACCCTCTTAGCCGAGGCTTAGCGTTCTGTCTGCGATATGAGAGTGATTTCTGGCTGGAGCCCGCGGGCTCTGTACCTGTCATGATCTGGGGCCCTGTAATTCAGGGGCGCCTCAGTGGAACGGACCCCCAAGGGTTTTAATTTCCATCAGTCTCATTGGATTTGTTTTGACTGGAAATCCTATTGCCTGTTTTTAAAACATATTCCCTTGGGCACTTTCAAACACTTGAGACCTCTTGGCAGGCAGGCATTTCATCCCCATCAGGAAATCTCATCAAAATAATATTAGGTTTGCACATCAGGAAAATGAAAGTCCTCCAAGAAGATGTCGCTAGGTTGGCTGTGGATGTAAGCAGTTAAGCCCATTTAGAAGGTATTTCGACCACATCTGACGTTTCGGGCCCGGGCCGGGTGGCAGGATCTCACAATGAACAATGATATAAAAAATAAGAGTGGGAAGGAGACACCTCCCCCTCCCCCACCCCCCTGAGGGAATTCTCTAGTTACAAAAGCCCAAACGGCATTCAAGGGAAGAGCAACCGGCCAGTTTTGGGTATGAGATTTTTGTTTCAAAGGGCTGAAAGGTAACCAGGCCTGCTGGCTAGGCTGTGGCTTGCCTTCCGTGGCAGGGTCTTGCCCTATATTTTTTTGTCTGGCCGCCTCCAGGCTGCATCTTGTAAGCCACACTTGGAAAACCACGTAACGGCAAGACAACTTTTATTCAAGGGTCCTAGCATACTCCTGGTATTTTTCGCATAATTTCGTCTGGACTTCCTTCCAGAAGGAAGGACCTGGTTTCCCTTCTGTAGGGGGTAGCTCTTGAAGTTTCTTAGACTCCTTTGATCTCCATAGTCCATTGTCCAAGTCTACAAGGAAGCTTTTACCCATGCCTTTCACTTTTGCTGCTTCAGTGTGGTGCTGAGTTTTCTAGAAAAAAGGCCCCTTGAGGTCAGCATGAAAGGGACAGGGCTGAAGCTTTGCCAAGCCTGTGCCCTATCTGTCTTCCCTTCCTGGGGGCCTCAGTCTGGTCTCATGCTTTGGTGTCTCTCTTTTCAGAGGCGTGAACATGTATGCCATGTTGACTGGGACCCTGCCTTTCACAGTGGAGCCTTTTAGCCTGAGGGCTTTGTACCAGAAGATGGTGGACAAGGAAATGAACCCCCTCCCCACCCAGCTCTCCACAGGTAATGTGCCGGCTACTCTTGGGTTCCTGGTTTCAGGACTTGGGCGCCTACCAGGTTTGGTCCATCTGTGAAGTAGTATTTGTTTTGCAGAAATGATATTAGGCCTTTTCCTAGGATTAAACGGTGACTCAAGAGTGGTTGAGTTTCCCATCGCTAAGCAACCCTTCATCTCACCTTGGCCCTTTTCTTCTCCATTATAATTCTGAACCCCTGACTTCCTTCTTCCTCCTTCTGCACAAAACCGATATTTCAAAAGGATCTTGGAAAAAGAAATGCAGTCTTGATTGCTTTAAAACTCACCATATTGTACTGTTGACTTTGAAAAAAAGCTTTTATAATCACATGTCCATTGTGTTTTGCTTAGTCAATTCACTGTAAAGAAATACTAGATTCATTCAAGTTTGGTCTGTGATTTGTCTTGCTATTTGAGGTTTTGAGCCTGTTCAAAATCTTTGAAATATATATAGTTTCAGTAACTCGATTAGACTAAATCATCAGGTGTGTTTGGAAAGTATTCTCAAACTTTACGTGGTTCACATTTCAGTAAACAGGTTGTATTAAGATTTGGTTTCAGATCCTGTAAATTAGCACAATTCATTCTTTTGTTTTGGTCACAATTCACTTCAAGTTCCTGGCCTCAGGTTGGTCCTGGTGATCATTTAATTGGCTCCTTAGAATAAACTCAGCTTCACTGAGATAAGGCATGTGACAAAAAAAAAAAAAAAAAAAAAAAAAAAAAAAAAAAAAAAAAAAAAAAAGTAATTGTGTAATTTCAACTTATGATACACGGTTAAAATACAACATTTTTATTTTACTACTGTTACGCATTTTTCTCTTGAGTTTATAAAGCATCCATGAAGCCGACCTTGAATTTATGTTTGCCAAATGGAATCCAAGCTGAAATGCATTCTTTTTCTAAAAAAAAAAAAAATGTTTATTTATTTATTTGAGAGAGAGAGAGAGAACATGAGCAGGAGAGGGGCAGAGAGAGGGAGAGAGAGATTCCTAAGCAGGCTCCATGCTGTCAGCACAGAGCCTCATGTGGGGCTTAAACCCATGATCTGTGAGATCATGACTTGAGCCAAAATCAAGAGTCGGATGCTTGACTGGCTGAGCTACTCAGGTGTCCCATGAAATGCATTCTTGGATGTGATGATCTAATTTGGTCTGTACTTCCCCTTTGCTAGGGAGGATAGAATCTCTTGTACCCTCATGCCTGGAAAAGGCAGACAGGGCTCACTTTGAATCCCAGTGAGATCCCGAGGAACTGGAGAACTGCTTCTCATTGGTTTAGTCAGGATGGGCCAGGTTAATGCACAGTAACAAGTAGCTCCCAAATCTCAGTGGCTTAAGACAACAATGACTTCTTTCTCATTCATACCACGTATCTGTGGAGAGTTGATGCAAGAGTTGAAGGATTCTGCCCATCCTAGTCAGTCAGGGTCCCAGACTGGTGGAGCAGCCACCATTTCAAACATATCTGGTCCATGCGGAGGAAAAGAAAAGTCTAGAACCACCTCTCATCAGCAATTAAGTCTCCCACCAGCGTTTCGCTCACAACTCCCAACTTTCTGAAGCATGTCACCTGGCTTCACCTAACTAAAGCAGATGGGGAAATACAACCCTACTGTGTGTCTAGAAGGCAGAAAGCCAGAAGTATCTGTTGAACATCATGAGTGTGAGTCACAGGCTGTGGGAGGAGGAGCAGATGGTCCGGCCTGTGATACTCCCCAGGGTGGGCTGCACGGCAGGGCAAGGCAGGTAGATGAGCAGCCCAGGAACTCATTCTTAACTGCGTCAGAACCAACATTGTTTTAACCCTAGTAATACTACCTGGACTTAGCAGGCTGGGCTCTAAGTCTTTTCTGATGGGGAACTTTAACTTTACCTTAAAGGAGTAAAAGCTGCACCCCTGAAGGTATTTAAAACATAGTCCAGAGGAACTTCCAAAGAAGATGCGTTAGAAATGTTCTGAGTGATTTTAGCCTCCCTGGAATTGGCTCGTAAGTGTTTCTCCTCGACTAGGGCTTTACCGCTCTGTGCTAGGTACCAAGCATAGTGTTTACACAGAGTAGATGCTCAGGGAATCTAGGTTGCTTACTCTGCTGGCAAAGTGTGTGGCCCAGGAAGGCACAGATCCGCCCAGCTGCTCAGGGATGGGACTTGACCTGATACGCTGGGGCCCAGAGCTGTATGCTGGCTGCCGGGGCAGTGCAAAGGATGTTGGCTTGTTTACGTAGTGAATGACTTCAGTTTTGGGGATCACTCCCATGCCTTCTGACAGCCCCCGCGTTCTCCAGCCCTTTGCCCTTTATGCCCTGCCAGCTTTACCTCTTCTCCTTCCCGACTAGCCTGGCCCCCCGTCATTTGTGATACTGTGTGGCACCATATTGTTTACATCCCCAAATACTCACTAGTAACAAGAGCAGCTGAATGGCCAGGTATAAGTGCTTTGTACATTACCATTTACTCTCGTAACAACCCTGCAAGGTAAGTACTCTCATTCCCAATTTATCAGGGAGGAAACAGAGTCTCAATGAGCTTATGTGACTTCTCTGTTTCTGATTTTATGTCTGCTTCACCCCCAAACCTGGATTTACCTAATATATCAGGCTGCTTCTCTCCCTTTCCTTATTTTATTTGCTATAAGATGCTTCCCCTTCCTCCAGATTTGGGGGGCATTATCTGTCGTTTTTACGTTTTGAGTAATGTCAAAATTGAGATGCCCAAATTGAAAATACGCCAATCTCATTAAATGTCTTGCCAACACATCTTTAATTTAATGATTCTATCATTCGTATTTGTAATGATCTCTACATGTGTACCGTATAATAGTACAATTAGATTCAGTTGGGAGAATTTTGGCCGAGTTAAAAAAAAGCAAAACAACCTCAGTGTTATTGCCCTTGTGAGTCTACTATGCATGCTTTTGAAGAATTGCCCCTCATCTCTACTATGTAGTTTGAGAACTTAAGCTTTTGGGATCTTTGCAATTCTTGCTTCTAGACAGTCTCTTTCCGCTTGTTGTTGGCACTTGCCTATCACAGGGTCAGGAATGCCTTTCATGGCTTACACGTTTTTCAGGCAATTTACCTTTACATCACTACATCTCAGTGATGGTACTTACACATTCCAAACAATCACTTCAGATCTAGAGGGTTTTGCACCATGAAATCACGGAAGTGAAGCTGAAGGTGAGTTGTTCGCGTTTTGTAAGGGTTGAGCCAATGCCAGTTGAGATTTTTGAGAAGGTTCAACCGTCAAATTCTTGTTCTTGATGCTTTTGCCTAGGAAATGATAGGGAAGGAGACTTGCGTGGGGATGGGACTCCACTTGCAAGTGATGGGCTTTCCACTGCAAAAAGTCCGATGGCTCTGTCTGTGTCCTATAGCCCTCTCCCTGGGCACAGTGTCACAGCACTCACACAAACCAGTCCAGACTCTGGAAAGTAGGAGGAAAGTAGGTTTTGCACCAGAAGTGTATAATGTATATGATGTGGAGCACGGAGAGGGAGCTCTCTGTGTGGGTCAGCCCTACCCTTGGACCTGAATGGAGACCCCAATTCCTAGCTTAGAAGAGTCGGGGGCAGGAGTGCCTGGGTGGCTCAGTTGGTTAAGCATCCGACTTCAGCTCAGGTCATCCCATGGTTCGTGAGTTCGAGCCCCGCATCGGGCTCCGTGCTGACAGCTCAGAGCTCAGAGCCCGGAGCCTCCTTCGGATTCTGTGTCCCCCTCTCTCTCTGCCCCTCCCCCGCTCACACTCCGTCTCTCTCTGTCAAGGGGGCAAGGAGTGGCCATGCCTGCCATGGCTTTCCAGGAAAATGGAGAATTTTAATCCCTTTGGGGTCACGAAACATAGGGATTTTAAAGGCCCTGACACAAACTTTTTCAAAGAACTCTAACGATATTTTCAAAGTCCTTTTTGGATAGTAATGCCACGTTTGTGATGTCCAAAGAAATAAAATTCATCAGTAGAGATCAGAACTAAAATTACTTGTGCTCATCAGCAGTTTGTGAAGGTGCAGAGTGCGTGATTCTGAAAATAGAACAAAAACGCACATCCAGTCTGTTCTTAGCTCTTCTGGTTAATCATACTCTGAAAAAGCCTGGCAGTAGCCTGGCTTGTACGGGTCCTTTGAGGGTAAGCGACAGAGATGTCGCAGAAACATCCGGAACTCACAGCCTCCGCATTTCAATTCATTAAGGCCGCATCTTTTTTTATTTGATCAGTAGATGTCCCTGATTAGGCATCCAGATGACTCTTGCAATGTACGGGAGTCGAGAGAAGAGGGATAAAGGTTCCAAAAAGAGAAACGTCTTTTTTCTTTCTTTCCTTTTTTTTTTTTTTTTTTTTTTTTTTGTTTGACATCTGTTTGCTTTTCAGACCATTGAACAACATTTTAGGAAAGTTTTATTTGGAGACTCAGCTATAAATCTCAGAGTATTAAATGTCCCTCATAACTGTGTCTACACATGTACTTTTTACCTGCTACATTCTTAAAGAGAAATAACCTGATGACCACACCAACTGTATGGAAACCCATTGGAGGAGTTACTTGGTGGTAAAAATTGTTTCTTTTGGGTTGATTCTGGCATCACCATCAGCCCTCTTTTGATGGCTTGATTTCTGCCCTATGGAAGACAATGACAGAAAACACCCACCATTCTCTAAGAACGGTATCAAAATGACAGCCAAAGCCTATGAGGATGTGGGAATTCTTACGACTTTTCTTTGAGAGGTTAGATTATGTTAGAAAACTGAAAGATAGCTTTGGGGAGAAGGATAGAAAAGTTTGGGGACCAAGCAAATCGGGATTCTTTTCTGGAATCTATTACTTGGTATGTTGGAAATTGGGTATCATGTGCAAGGCTACATAAAAGAATATTATTAGAAAATTATTTGTAATGTTTTTCTTTTTGAGAGAGAGAGAGACAGAGCATGAGCTGGAGAGGGGCAGAGAGAGAGGGAGACACAGAATCGGAAGCAGGCTGCAGGCTCCAAGCTGTCAGCACAGAGCCCGACATGGGGCTTGAACCCACGAGCCACGAGCTCATGACCTGAGCCGAAGTCAGATGCTTAACCTACTGAGCCACCCAGGCGCCCCAAGGATATTTTTTAAAGTGCCAAGATGATACGACAGTAAGATAAGGAGTACAGAATAAAAACAAAATTACAGTCCCACAACTCAAGCAAGACAGGCCATCTCCATTTGGAAGTAATCAGTCCCTGGCATTCTTTGTCTATATGTGTTCATGCCTATTGTCACACTAGCGGCTTTGGAGCCTGTGACCTTCCTGTGCATTATTCAAATATTTTTTCCACGTCGTGTAGTTATCTCCATTGTTATGCTCGTAAAGGATGGAAATGTCTCCTTAGAGATGAACCAGCTTCCTATCCCTAGTGCCTGGCTGGACAGCAGGTGCTTTGTAAATGTTCATTTAATAAAGGACACCCAGGACATTTGAAAAAATCACTGTGGCTTTTGCCTGGGACGGAGGGGAAGGGGGTGTGGGGATCTTCTGGCTTCTCAGTTGCTTCTCGTATTCTTTCCTTACATACCATGCTCAGCCTAACTAACGTGACCACAGCCAAGTTCAGTAGGCTGCCAGATAAGGACAGACTTTTTCGGCAACACAGTCTGCCCAAGCTGCCCCTTCATTTTGAGGGAATGCACAAAAGGAAAGGGCCCCTCAAGTAGATGTGGTTTTATAGTGTGGTGCTTTCTGCAACATTGTACACAAACTAAGGAATTTAAAATTTGAGTTACAGGGGTGCCTGGGTGGCTCCTTCGGTTAAGCGTCTGACTTCTGCTCAGGTCATGATCTCGTGGCTCATGGGTTTGAGCCCCGCATCGGGCTCTGTGTTGACAGCTCAGAGCCCGGAGCCTGCTTCGGATTCTGGGTCTCTCTCTCTCCCTCTCTGATCCTCCACTTGTCACTTTCTTTCTCTCACTCCTTCAAAAATAAATAGACATTAAACATTTTTTTTTTAAAAATCGAGTCACAGAGTTTACTTGCACCGTAACCCAGACTGGCCCTCCGATTGGCCTGGCTACACAGGCGTGGGCTATAGCTGATCTGGGTGCTGTGTCATCAGTCCAGAGTCCGGGGACTAAGTAGATGGCCATGCAAAATGGCTTTAAAAGAAAGGACCAGAAAGAGAGCACGACCTCCCTGGGTCTCAGGAGACTCTGTGTGTCGCATGGTGAGGGTCAAGTTAGAGGGCAGAATTTTGAATGCCTTCATTCTCTGGTTCCTTTCTGAGTACTCAAAAACCCACCTTGAGGTCAAGTGTTTTCTCTTTACTTGCTTTCATCCCTGTATTACCAGCCTGTACGTCGCACATCCCTCTGGCTCACCTTTAGAGATGGACCCGCCAAGCTAAGACCGCAGTATTGGGAAGTGCAGGGCACGGGGAGAGACCTGAATCGGCTCTTACTTTACCGTGTACCAGTTGTATTCCTGGGACAGATACCTTAAACTCGTCGGACTCGAGGCACCCGGAGATCCAGGGAATAGGTCAATGCTGGCAATGACTCCGGAGAGGTGGTCGGGCACCTGCCTTGAGTCTCGGCGGCCTCTGCATTCAGCCTGTGACGCGGATGTCTGTTTGCCGAATGTCTCCACAGGGGCCATCAACTTCCTGCGCTCTCTCCTGGAACCAGATCCTGTGAAGAGGCCCAATATCCAGCAAGCCCTGGCAAACCGCTGGCTTAATGAGAATTACACGGGCAAAGTGCCGTGTAACGTCACCTATCCCAACAGGTAATCGAGTATATGCAGAGGGGGCCCTTCTCTCGGGCCACACGAGGCCGCCTTCTGAGCCCTGACCACTTCTGGGCAGGAAGCTGTGCGTGATTCAAGGAGAAGCTGCATTTCCCCTTGGCCGCCCCCTCCCCTCCGGGCCCCTACAGCCACCGACTAGCCCACCTCCGCGCACGAGAGGAAGTGTAGACGGGGTCGTCCCATGCAGCTGTGCAGAGCGCACCCTGCACAGGGCACCCAGTAGAGGGTGGGTGGAGGCTGCCCTCCACACCCCATTCCCCTTGTGAGACGTGCCCCGGGGGCCTACGTCTTCTATCTTCACAGAGTGGCACCTCTTTCTAATTCACACAAAGGGACCATTTAGGCTTGCTGTGGCCCGAGCGAGCGGGCGCGTGTCTGCTGAGCGTGTCTGTGGCCGTATCTGGTTGCGTGTGTGTGTGTGCGTGTCTGTGTCTGTGAGTGTACATAGTTGTGTTTGAGTGTGTGAGATCCATCCGTGGGCTCTCCTGCCAGCCTCAGGCAGAGTCCAGCGGGATTGCCCCTCTCCCCTTTCAGACCACCCCTTGGGCTCCTCTTCTGACACTTGTTTGCTCTGATGTTTATTTCAGCACCGAGTCCCTTGCCTTAGAACGTTGGGGTCAGGAAGAAAAGGCAGTAGGAGGGGTCAGCCGCTTCAGGCCGTGTTTCCCTGTGGACTTCCTGTGAAGGCTTCACTTTAGCAGCTTCCATGAGGAGAATGCTTTAAGGCAGGCTTGCAGGCAGGGGTCCGCGGCATGGAAATGCCAAGGGGCACCTCGTGATGGCCCACACGTCTCTGTCACTGCTGTAGTGACTACACATTGAAAAACAAGTATAAGAAAACATTAGCTTGTACTTCCTTCCTACTCATCGGACATACTGTTACCCAACCCGAGTGAAGGCATGAGGACCCTCACCTTGGTTCCCTTAGAGCAAACATGAACACCACGAAGGTCAAATACCTTCCAGGACTGGGACCCACACGCCGGGTCCCGGGCCTGCTCACTCTAGTCTGAAGCTCAGATGAGGACAAAAGGACCACTGATGAAGGGGGGACAGAGATTTTCAAGATGTCCAGGAAGGTCTGGAAACATCCATCAAGACTTAGGAAAGCTGTCACACTGAGTTCTTCAAATAGGATGGGCAGGCAGGGCTCTGTCTTGGGGAGAAAGTTCTAGAAGAACTTAAGAGGCTGTGGGTGGAGTCCGTATCCATGCCACCAAGCCAGATTTACACTCACCAGGGCTGAGGTGGTTTCACTCACCGCCATCTAGAATTCTAGCATTTGACTCATGAGAAGTAATTTAAACGAAGTCTAGTTACTTAGGTTACCAAGGGAACCTGGAAATAGACTGCTCGTTTCCAGCGCTGGCTCCCCTCGGCCCGTACCTGAAACAGACACCAGAAAGATTACTTCAACGTGAGCTGGAAAGCCAAGCCGAGGAGCCATGCCTCATTACCAGGGCTCACGAAACATGGCAGCACACAGGTATGCTGTCTGCTAAAGGAAGGGGCACTGGTGGCAGCCACAGGAGTCATTAAGCGAATGTGATCGCTGCCTAAATGAGTATAATCAATCCACTCAACATGGCAGCCATTGGAAGGAAGCGGCTCTGGTAGTAGAAACACAGCGTGCCCCTCCCTGATGGCCGCATCTTCATTCGCAAGGAGTCGTTCCGGGGCGCCTCATTCCATAGCTGTTCCACAGGTCGCAGATAGGCGTTTGTGGATTACAACTTCAACCCAGGTATCGTCTGCTGGTTTTGCCAGATCAGTGATTTTTGCATTTGGATTTGGTCAAAAGCATAAAGGCTGCACGTGAACTAGTTGGGTTGGGACCACCGTTAAGGTCCTGTATATCAAAGAAAACAGCAGCTCGCTGCCTTCCGTTTACGTGTGGCCTGTCGCTCATTTTGTACCAGAGGCAGATTAATGTTGGGTTGTGTTTTTTTTTTATTTATTTTTTTTTTT